ATCAGTCCCGTAGCCCCGTCATAGAAGGCCAACAAATTGGTCAATTTGTCTTGTTTGATATGAATATTTTCCCTTTCTAGAAGAAAAAAAAAAAAAGCTTGCTCTTATAATGCTAAATTAATTCTAACTTCCAGAAAAAATGAGAGGAAGCATTATCCCACAAAAGGGAAGAGTATTTTGGAGTAGAGAAAAATAACTATAGCAGAAATGTTATTACACAGCTCTGGCAGCCAAACATTGTGAGATGACACATTTGTGAAATATTGAAGCCTACAAGTGCCTATGGCTGCCATATAAGTAACCAACAACTTATGTAAAGCTGTGATAATTATAGAAAGCATTACAAATGATATCTACTTCAGCATATGCTAGTTTTATGGTTGTGATTCTTGTAAATTTGGGTCCACTATTCTCAAATATCTAACCCCTTGAATTTTTGTTTTGGAATTCATTCTTTTTCTTTTTCTAAACTTATTTCTTCTGCAGCAGAATTCCATTAAAGCTGATGCTAGATTGGAAGGAACTTTTTTTTAATGGAAAACTGATATATGAACAAGCCTCAATTCAACCTTTGCTGAATGAACCAACCCCAGAACAACTTGTAGACCTGAATAAAATGAATCTGTTAGATGAAAAAGATTGTAGTGAATACAAGGTACATCAAACTGATAAGACATAATGGAAGATAATACACTTTGATTTCTCATAATCATAAACATTTTGTTGTGATGTTTCATTTTGTTCTTTTACAAGTTTTAAATATCAGATTTTGACATGCATTTTCTTTTCATTGCCTGAAGTTCTATATGAAATATATGGCTATATTTCATGTCAACAGCAGTGGAGAACTGGTACAATTTTAAAACACTGTTATAATTCATTCTTGTATATAACATTGTTTTTCCCTCTTGAGCTCGTAGGACCAATATATGAACTTGATAGTCTTAATTTCAGTAATTTTGAGTGAAAACTTTCTAATAAGATTTATTAGTTTGAGAGAAGCATTTGTTTTAAAATGGTAACATTAATGAAAATTATTAAAAATGGCTGGTATTTTTCTTAACTTTCAATTAGAATACAGGTGACTATTTTTCAGGGAACCTTAAATCTTTTCTTCAGCTTTACAATGCTTTAATATGATTTCATAAGTTATAGGTGAAGTATTAGTGTTTTCCTGTTTAAATGTATTGTGCAGTTTTTTTCCAAATTACATTAATGGTACTCTGGGGGAAAAAGAAAATCCTGCTACATATTCAGTCTTTTGGAATAATCTGTTTAACTGGAATATGGCCAAATCATGGCAAATAATCTGTCTTTGACTTGTTGGGAATATATAACTACAATATATATGTGCTTTTATCCACATCCTGAACCAATTGGTACATTTTCTTTTGCAGTGAGTGTAAGTGTTTGTTAAGAGTTTCTGTGATCAATGTCTGACAGCTCAATTTACTTTGGTTTCAATCTTAATATAAATTTTTCTGATTAACTGCTATTATAGCTTATTATCTGCTGCTCTGGTATCTATTTATAAGGTCCTTGTTCAGACTTTATCAACTTGTAATGAATTTTTCAATCACTTTCTTTAGGTGAAAAATGCATATATACAAGACCAACAGGGAGGACATATGGGACAGACAGGCAGGAAGCAGTGGGGAGTTTTTCTGTCATACTGTTGTTTATATTACACCATAGTAGTCTTCTCTGGATGTAAAGCACTGGAGTTCACAAACATTTAATGACACATTTAAAGTCTCTTTTTCACTACCAGTCTGTTTCAGCTGTACATCCACATAATTAATTTTTTCTCCCAGTTGTTGATAGTCTTATGCCTTTCTGAAAAGCTGGTATCATATGACATGTAAAGTTTTTGGCACCAACTCATATTTGTGTCTTCTAAAAACCTAAGTAAATTACTAATACCCACCTTTAATTGCTTCTAGATAAAAGTATGTTGGCAGGGCATTCTGGCAGTTTATGCTGATTTTCTTAACCCTTGAGAAAAGCTCAGCAAAGGCAATTTTGCACCTCTCAAGAATATTATGTTTACATTAGGAATACTAACTAAAAGTGTCAGATACATTTAATAAAATACAAGAACAAGATACAGTGCTATCAGTCTACTGCACATTCCACATTAGATTGGAAATATTTGGAAACTACTATATCATCAGTTGTCGCTAATCACTTAATAAATTAGTGGATGCACGCAAAATAAACGTACGAGTAGGCACTTCTCAAAATATCAAATAATTTCTAGTTTAGATCAAGAGTATTGTCAAGGAGTTATATAACTTTCACCTGGATACCTGAAAATGTGTTTCTGACAGATAAGCTACTTTCTTACAAGAAAGGTACAGTCTAGCAATCTTCTGCTTAAAAGGAAAAGAAATCTGAAAGATGAGTATGTTGAATGGGGAGCCCATTCAATTTGGAATTAATTTTTCCTCGTAGAGTTTAAACAACTCATCCATCTTTACTTCTTGCTTAAGGAAGAATGGTTCAGATAGGACAAGGATTTGGGTTTTTTAAGTATGCTTTTTCAATTACATGTTAAGAATTATGTTTTCTGAGATTGATTAGAGAGGGGATATTGTGCAACTCAAGATTTTTTTTAATTTGGTTTTACTGATTAAAAGTAGGAGGTATTTTCATTTAGAGTGACAATAAGTTACACTGTATTATTCTAATGCACATATATTCAAAGTTGACACTGATCGAGTTCTGTTAGTAGAATGTATACTGTGAAAATGTATCATTCATGTGAGTAAGTTCAGGAAAAGGTTGCATATTCTACCTGGAATGTGGATTCAAAACATTATCTTTCAGAAGAACTTTAAAACTGGTTGCTTCTGTTAATGATGATTAAATATTTAATTTAAGAATTATGTAATTGTTGAGGTTGAAAGGGATGTGGAGGTCATTTAGTATCACCTCTTTGCTCAAAGCAAGGCCAGCTTCTGAGTCAGATAAAGTTGCTCAGAACCTTGGCTGGTGAGCTTTCAAGTATTTCCAAGGATAAAGATTCCACAGACTCTCTGTGTTTAGGCACTCTTATGTGAACTTTTTTTTTCTTCATTATTTTTCCTACTTGGAGTTTCTCTTGCTGAAACATTTGACTGTGTGCCAACCCTTTATTGTGCACCCCAAATGAGGTGGCAAGCCAGAATCTATTTGGGAATATTATCAGTCCATGTATCTTTCAGACAGCTTTTTAGTATTCTGCAACCACATAATAGTTAATACAGGTCTAGAATTACCCTGCACACTAAAATGTTCTCTTTTAGCTTTTTGTACCACAAGCTGCACGTCAGAACTTTCCTATTGCTGTAACATCCAGTACTGGTAGAGTATATATTAAAGTGACTAATAGCAAAGAGTACAATTCAGTGTTCACTTCTTATGACTACATCCTTCCAATCTCATCTTTCTTCCAGTGAGATTGCCAGGAAGAATATTTTTGCTAGCAAAAGCTCATTAAGCTGAATGCTGGTAACTCATAGTACTGATAAATTTATATTGGTCTTAAAGTAGTTGAATTGAAAGTTTCTGTTCAGTATTTCCTTCCTTCAAAATTGTTTGAATTATATGGTGGCTTGTTTGTTTTGGATTGTTGATTGATTTTGGTTGTTTGTTTGTTTGGGTGGTTTTTTTTGGCTGGGTTTTTTTTGGTTTTTTTTTGGGGGGGGGTGTTTTGTTTTGCTGGGGGGTGAAGGTTGGTTTTTTGTTTGTCTTTTTTCTCTCTATTCTACGTATGTTAGGCAAATATATATATTTGAAATATTTGTCCATACAAATTTTCAAAGATTTATGTGTAATACTGGACAACAACATTATCCCATTTTTAAAGCACTGAATATTAGGATACTGACCTTCTATTCCAAAAATCCGCTACTAATTCATTCTATGGTATTGGTGAAATGATTTTTCATGTATATGGAATTAAAAAATTATCCTAGGAATCTATGAAATGGTGGGAGTTGTAAGAGTACTTGTCTCAACTAGTTACTAGTGAATATCAATAAATGCATAATGATTATGACATAATTAAAGCTTTTAACAAGGGTCTATTCTAAAAAATATTTTATTACTCAGTAATATTCAGATTTGGTTATTGTATGTATCGAAGTTGTGTATAAATACATATATCTAGAAAGATGAAAACCAAAGCATATTAACAAACTATTTGGTAATTTGTCATTTATACAGAGTATGACAGGGGAATGGTGCCCAGATGAAGAGAACAGTGAAAGCAAACCTCCTCTTAATAATAACATATTGGGTCATGTGCTTCATAGACTAATGGAGATTTTTTATCCTCCAAAACCCATACCTTCACCTGCATTTCCTCCTTTTCCTATAAAGGGATGTATTTTGGGAAAACCTTTCAGTGGAAAAACTACCTGTGTAAAGTTTATTGAAAAAGGTAGAGTGGGTTTGTTCTGTTCATTTGTTTGTTTGTTATTGCTAAAATTCTTTATTTTATTATATATTTTAGTCTTTATTGGCCTTAAAATCCCACTTTTTTGTGTACTAGTTTGCAATATTCAGGTGCTATCTGTTGATATTTTGGTTCAAGAGGCCATCCAAGCTTTTCTTAAAAATGAAATGAAAAGTGAGCAAAATATGATTCCACAAGAAGCAGAGAGTTCTGGGGAAGAAAATGAGGTAAGCAATTTTGTTAACTTTGGTTTTGGCTCCTACAGGCTGATGAGCATGAAATATGTAAGGAAGAAAGCATGTTTCAATTTTTTTCTAGATTTCAAACCTAACTCTAAGTTTTGACTTACAAGACTTCGAGAATCAGCTTGAAATGACAGGCTTATTTTTCCTGTAATATGTAGTTTCCTTTCTAATCCATTTTCTTTCATAACTGATACAACGTCAAGAAGAACTTACCACTGCGGGATGTATTAAAGAATTTTGAAACAGAAATACCTATCAATGGAACCGAAGGTGGGTATATATTTTACTTATATATGTATGTATACACGTAATCTTACTGGATTTAAATGACAATTCCTTTTGTACATTTGAGGTAATATCCATGATGTATGAGTTTTCACAGTAGTTTCCATTATGAATTTCCTGTTTCCACACATTCCTAGTGTCTGGGAACAGCAAGTGAGGCTGCTCCATGAAGGAAAGTGAGCTAGGTGACAAGCGCAGTAGCAAAGCAGGAAGTGCCAACATTTGTCCACAAAGATAAAGGATATCCACTGTTGTCAGAGTCACTATCAGGTCCAGAGACATTGATCAGCATGAGCCTCAGTCTGATGCACTTCACCTTCTTTACTGAGAGGGCACATTGCTAGCTAATTGTCAACTTGTTCTTCTCCAGGGCCTCCAGGCCTTTCTCTGCAAAGCTGATTTCAAGACAGCTGACCCCCAGCTGGTGTTGAAGGCAGGAGGACTTGCATCGCCAGATGCAGGACTTTGCATTTCCCTTCAATGAACTTCATGAGATTTCTGTCAGCCAGTTCCTCCAGCCCATCAAGGTCCCTCTGAAGGGCAGCACAACAAAGTGGTTTATTGACCAGTCCCTCCAGTTTCATGAGGGTCCACTGTGTCTCAGTTGTGCAGGTTGTTAATGATGATGATAAACGATATCGGTCTCACAAACCACACTTGAGCTACACCAGTGATTTGCTGACTGTCAGCTGCACTTCATGCTGCTGCTCACAACCCCTTGACCCTGCCAGTTCAGCCAGTTTTGAGTCCATCTCACTGTCCACTTACCCCGTCCATATTTCATCAGTTTATCTATAAGGGTATGAAGTAAGACAGTGTCAAAAGTCAAAAGTGTCAAAAAAACACCACATGCTGATCTGATCAACTATGGAGCCTGCTACCTCACTGTAGAAGGTTGTCAGTTTTTTCAGGCATGATTTCTCCTTCCTAAAGCCATGCTAACAACTCCCAGTCATCTCCTTGTCTTTACTGTACTTGGAAATATTTCCATGCATATTTGCTCCATCAGGAGCATCCATCTGAAGTGGTGCTGCCTGTCTTCTACATCCCAAATTCCTCCTTCTTGCCCTCCTTGAGAAGAGGGATGGCAGTTAAATTCTTCTCATCCTGGGCGTCTCCCTAGTCACCAAGGCCCTGACTGTGGTGGGAGGGCTGGAACTAGATGATCTTTAAGATCCCTTCCTACCCATACCATTCTATGGTTCTGTGATCATTAAGATTATGGCCTAGCAATGACATAAGCCAGGTCCCTCAGCTTGTGTGGGAATGTGCCATCAGGTCACATGAACTTGTGTATATTTCCAGTTTATGTAAATGTTCCTTAAGCTGATCCTCCTCTACCAAGGGTAAATCTTTGTTGCTGCAGACTTTCCTGCTAGTCTCTGGGGCTTGGGATACCTCAGTCTTTTGCATGTTTCAGCAGGCACACATTTTCCCTAGACTTCCTTTTGCTGTGGAGAGACCCGTAAAATCCCTCCTTGTTGCCCTCCCAACTAGACATAAGAAAAGGCTTTTTCCTCATGAGAAGTATTGAGCATTGAAACGAATTGCCTGGAGAGGTAGGGTAGTCTCCATCCTTCAGGGTGTTTGAGATCACATTGGGTAAACTATTGAGCAACCTGGTCTGACCTCATAACTGATGCCACTTTCTACAGAAGACTGAACTCGAACTAGGTGACTTCCAGAAGTTGCTTCCAACCAAAATTAATGATCCTATGATTCTAGCAATTGTATATACCTTCTGTACTGATTTTTTTTCAAAGAACAATAATGAGGCATATACTTTAATTATCTATCTATAGTAATAAGTATTACATTAATTGTCATTACATAAGTATTACATTACATTGTCAAACTTTGCAATGTACATATTTCAGGCAATTTTCCTGTCAGAAAGGATCCATCTTGGCAAGAAATTAAATCAGATAACAGTCAAGATGACCTATCCAAGGTTTGTAATCTAATTTTATCTTCTACTTTCTAAACATGCATTAGATAAAGTGGCTAAATTACTGAAATGGTGACATCCTTTTATCATTCTGAATTAATTTGTTGACCTCACTGCAATTATTTTCTGTTTGAAATATTAGAAGTGTTTGTTATGGTAATCTATTCCTTTGTGTCTTGCTTAGACTTGTACATACTGTTAAAGTTCTGTATCTTCTTGTTAAATCTCATAGTTACGTAAGATATGTTATTATGCCATTTCTGGGTTAGCAGAAATGTATTCCCGCTCTTGCTGCTGCCAAGCAAATAGACCGTTCATCCCATGACAAGTTTTCTTTTTGTTGAAAAATGCTTAATTCTACAGTGATATCTTAGACCTTATTGCTTATTGGAAAACGCTTCAGATATAAAAGAATCCGTATGGAATTAATGCTGCTGTAGGAAACCGTCAGTGGAATTATGTTATATGAAAATCAGAATAAGCTTAGAACCAGGACACTTAATTTGTCGTTCTTGGCCTTTATATCCTTTGTTTCTCAACCTTGTTTCTGTCTTCATTTTCATGAGTGTAATGATGGAAATCTGTTGGAGATTGCACTTAACCTAGGTCTTTTTTATATCACTTGAAACTACTTATGCTTAAGAGATAATAAAAAATATTAATTATAAACTAGCAATGCAATTAATTTAAATAAATAATATTGGATATATAAAGCAGAATCATACTCTTTTTAATAGTGTTGTGAACATTCTGAGCAGATGAATCTAACGCTGCACTCTTCCACAGCTATCTGTACGTGCACAGCTTGGTGCCGCATCACAGAAATTGATGAAGAAAGGAAAAAGCATTCCTGATGAATTACTAATTGATATCCTATTGGAGGCCATTAAGTATGAAACTGTACAGCTTTTTTTTGTCAGTTACTTAGAATGTAGTTACCCAGCTTGTATTCTGGATTCAGACATTTCTCTTTTTTAAAGTATTTTTTGAACACTGGAATATTGTAATTTGAAAGTGGAGCTAATTAGTGGTTAGTGTTAATTTTATGCTAGTAGTAGAATGTTAGCAGTAGAGTCTAGCCCTAAATTTTGCAGACATTGTTGCATACTACTGAAGGTAAGTGAAAATATACACGACTATCACATAGTCATTAAATATAACTAAAGTGAATATAAATGTCTTTATTTTGCTGAAGCTATTCAGCATATGCTACTATTTTTTCTTTCAGGTTTTGTGAAATGAATAATCCAAACATTCATACTTTAGCAGATAGGTTACTTATTTTGTCTGCAGAAAATGGTCTCAACTACCTAGATGTGCAATTAGCACTTTAGTTTCCACATGAATATAATTTCAGTTATATTACTCCCATTAGTATATTTTAAAGTTATGAAACAGATTTTTCTATTTGCTACTTCAGTACAAATGTACTGTGTAGTACAAAATAGTGTAATTACACCTCTAATCATAGTCTGTATAGAAAGTGGTTTTGAAAGCTTTTTTTCATTTTTAGTTAGGCTTAATGTTATTTTTCAGATCTAAAATCCATTGCTCTACAGTTCAGGATTTAATTATGTGTGACATATTCTCTATTCAACCGGATATTTAATATACTGAATTCAGAAAGAGACTGCTAGGGCAAGCTCTTCTTTAGGTGTTGTTATTATTATGCTATCAATTCACTGTATAAATCTGGATCTTCATTTACTTTCAAGACAAACACCACCAGAGAAGGGGTGGATTGTGGATGGTTTTCCGATGACAATTAATCAGGCAAAGCTATTTGAAAAAGCCTACACCGGGATTGATCCAGAAGCAGAAGATGCAAACTCTGTAAAGCTCTCACTTGTTATAGATCCCAGAGCCCCTAACAAGCCTCCTGCTACCTCATCTGCATTTGATATATCTGTATTATTGGATATTTCAGACACTGTGGTACTGGAACGTGTGGCTATCTTGAAGTGTAAGTTTCCAACTACTTTTGGAAAATGACAAGCAGATTTTGGTGTTTGTAAAAGGAAAGTTAAAATTTTTATAGTACTAAAATATCTAAATTGTGAGTACTTTGCAACATAGCAGCAAACTGCATATTTTAATTAAAATACTAATTCATAACAATATCTGTACTTTCCTCTGCAAATTATGAAATTAGAAGTTGTTTAGATTTCTTGACAGCTTTCTTATCCATTTGTAAGTATTTTTCTCCAGGAGACATGTTTGGAAAGAGATGAAGAAAATTATAAACAAAGGGACCTGCCAACATTCATACCCTATTTATTACTGCCTTTCCTTTGTCTTCATTTAGTCAGTGAACAATCAGAAATTGAAAATTTTGACCACAAAGGCAAAAACATGAAAGGCTTTTTGAGCTATGTTTCACTTCCAGACCACACGTTTTTAAATGTCCTTACTCACCTTGGCAAAACATAGGTTGTTTTCATGAATTGTCCAGATTGTGGGGAGATTCCTTGCCATTGCTTTCACTCCAGGGCTTACATGACACATAGCTGGAATTAAAGCACCATTACCTTTAGCTTTTATCAATAGGTAGGAGCAAGTGTGAGGCAAAATCATTAGAGCTTTTACTAACAATGCAGTGAAGATAAATGTATAGACACCTAAAATTCTTGTTAGACCTTGTGTTGACAAAACACTTTGAAAATGTGATAATAAATGTTATCATTTCAGAAATACAAACAGAATTGGTTTCATAAAATGCAGTGATAGAGTCAAAAGAGCAATAAACACTGCCCCCTACCCTCCCCCGCCCCCCAAATCTGTGAAAAAGGGCTTATTTCTAATAAATGAAAGGAATTTTTTTTGGACTTAGGAAAGACGGAGAGAGAGAGAATCCTTTGTCTTCCAATGCAGTGGAATATCTACCCACTGATGTGAAAAGGAGTAGTTACTTCAAGGAAGATTCAGATTAGACTGGAAAAGTACTTTATAATTGTTATAGATAAGCCTGAAATAGTCCACCTGCAGGA